AAAATATTAAAAACGTATGTTCGATGAGGCATTAAAATGATACCTAAGGCCTTAACTATTCACGGAATGGAAGTTTATTCTTGATTTTGGGTTTCTCTCTCCTTTATATCTTCTCAAGCAAGATAACCCCGTGAATTTAAAAGACCGATCTATATGACAGGAAATGGGCCACCGTCATGATTCTTTATATTATTCATCATACTTCCGACCGAGTCAGACATGGATTATAGCTCTGCGGGTGCTCTGCGGGTATCCCAATTGATCTCGAGCTGCGTTTCCATTCCTTTTAAATATACAATTCCTTGGTTACATAGAGTGCTAGTGACATAATACGATATATATGGGGTCATTAAATTCCATATGGGGATTCGCTCTCACCCCATATGGAATTTACTGACCCCATATATATCGTATTATGTCACTAGCACACTATGTAACGAATTTATCTTACCGACTATCTTAACATGTGGTATTTAGGCTAGGGGCATATAAAAGTGATCAACTCTTCAATACCGTTAGTATTAAGAACCTACTTCCCATGTGCAAGAATATGTCACATTTCCAAGCGAGATAACCCAATCTGTATATATTGGACAGTAGATAATTAACGATAACTCTTTACTCCTTCCAATAGATGTCGTTGTATTTACTAATCTTGTTAAATACAACAGAGACATGTCTCTGATAAAAATTAATTAGTGTCTTCACGGGAGTTATAAATTACGATACTTGAGTTAGTGGTCTTTAAAAGGACTATGATATTGAGATCAAAACCTCGTCGAGATTATAAATCAATGTACGCAGGAACATATATATTGATATACTGTTCCCAGATGTACGAAGGGGAAATTATTTTGAAAAATTAGGGAACAGTTATAAAATGTATCTCATGAGTTTTGATGTTCATATATCTTAGAAAATACCATCTAGGAAGTTATATGACATCCTTGTTACCAAGAAATTTAATATTTTCATTTGTCCTTATGCAACAGAGCTGACGAAGAAATTGGTACCGAACTGTAGCTTATTGTAGTTTAATCACCATTAGTAATACAGTAATTATATGGCATAATATCAGCTGTATTTTTTATAAACATATTAACACCAGCAACCACAAGTTTGTCCTGCTTTCTAACAATAGGCTATATACATTCATTCGTTTCAGTACAATCATTCATTTATGCCTTGGACAAATAAGTTTGCTTTAAAATGATGCTATATATGTCTTTGAAGAAATAACTTACAAGCTAGATGTTTTTCATTTTTTAAATGTTTTATGTAAAAACGGCTAAACATATCTCAACCATCTTTAGTTAGGTAAGGCGTAAGCAGACAAAAAGGTTCAATAAATCAAATTTAGACAATTGGTGAAAATTAAAGATATAAATTCTAAGACTAAATAATTGAAGAATAAGTCATTCAACAGTTAAAATATATTTTTATTGATATTGATAAATAGAGCTTTTATTGATATTGATAAGTAGAGCTCTCTCTCTGATTGATAAGTGAAGAATTATCAATTTTAATAACTAAAGACATCATCATGAAGCGAGTTAGGTCGCAAGCACTTTTATAGTGAGTCTCCCTTTTTATGTGTGTTTAGGAGTAATTTTTATTTGAAAGTTTTTTCATATTTCAACTTATTTTCATCCATCTAAAATTTTCTAACTGCTATCAGTGCGATTTAATACTAACAGTATTTATATCTGATGTGCCTCTGTCCTTATTTTCAACAGTGCAAGAAAGGTTTAAAATTTTCCTGAATTAAGTCACGGATAAAAATTCACAGGACAATAAGGAACGACATCAAAAGTTCAATGTAGGATAAACAAACTTAATTCACGTAGTTTTTTCACTGACCCCAACCCCCTCTTAACTTAATTTGGGAAAAATTGATTGACCAACACAGAAATATGTAAAATCGATGTCAAATAAACAAAACTTGCAGCAATTTTACCCCCCCCCCCCCCCCCCCCCCCCACACCCCAAACTATTTGAATTAAGTTTTTTTTTTATCCTACATTGATCTTTTGATGTCGTCCCTAAATCAAAGCTCATTTATGCGATTCATAGTTTGTCTTTGATAAATAAATAGCCTTTAAAAAAAGCAATTTACATTGCTCATGAACAATTGATTATAAAAACTTGGGAAACATTTTTCTTGTTTGAGATTTTTTTCCAAACAGTAAGAAAGATCGAAAATTTAAATAAAAAAAAATCAGTGACACAAATTCGTCGGACAAAACTAAATTAATAAATATAAGTTAGTTTTTATGAGTCGTGGCATATGCACCAGACAAAAGGTGTTTTGAAATACAAGGAAAACCCAGCATATCAACGAAGAAGGGCCTCTTTTGCTGTGCATAAGATTAAAACTTGTCACCAGGTCTTCAGCAATCGGCTTTTTAATATTCATTTACAATGACAACACATTCATCATTATAACAGAAACCAACATGCAATGTGTTGTAAGCGTTACATTTTTTCACACAAGAACATTTTGAACAGTGTATTTCTAAAAAAGACCGAGAGACAGCTTACATGTGTATTGTATTGCACCATTAGGTAATTAAAGAAAACCATACATATAGAAAATGACAAATTAAAAGAAAAAAGAAAAAAATAAAAGCAGCAAATTAAACTATCTATACATAGATAACAATAAACAATTTACTTCCATGGTCAAACTAAAGAGCGAGGAACACGATTCCCTAAAAAAGAGTGATTTGAAATATTTTTTGAGTTAGTTTTCGAGTTATCAAATTTGTTTTAATAGTTCCACCACATTGATGTAATGTCATTACAGGATGATACTTCCACAACAAACCGTGCATACATTCATTACATGTACATATGTCACCAATTAACACAAGTTGTATTGTATCAGATTCAATTAAATCATGAAAACAAACAGTGGTATCCTGTTGAGCATATATAAGACATCGTAATTGGAGATAGGAAAGACAATCAAGCGACAGGGTGCCTACTGATAATAAAATTCATTTGACAATATATCAATTTCGAACTTTTTTAATATACCACCTTTTCATTTTCTTTAAATATTATCGAAATACAAATGATGGAAAAATGTTTTACGGGTGAAAAAAAAATTATTAAACAGCGAATCGTTTATTATCATTTAAATGTAAATGTATACTTTATCATTTATCATTAAATACGTTTCACCAAATATGAATAAAAAATATCTTTATAGTCTCTATTGTATGAAATAATACGAACTATGAACTATCATGAACAAGAACCCTTATAGTAAAACACCATTATGTCCTTTGAACAGATGAGCTATCCCGACGAATACAATTTAATATAATTAAATATAATTTTATTTTGTATTCAATATTTATCGTTTCTATTTGAACAATAAAAAATAGCCACAGTGAACACTTTGAATTTGAACTTATTATGTATTATTTCATTTATTTCAAAATAACCGGAATTTAATTTACATGTATAACAGTATGATCTCGCTAATGTACGTTGTTTTCGTATATTACATTTGTGTTGGTTATTTTTTTTCAAAGACAACTTTTCAAAACGCCGGAGACCTAAGAATTTTTTAATTTAAACTGACTTTTCTGACATCAAAACATAGCTTATTGACAGGAGTATTCAACAGTATGTGTTAATAGTATTTCCTCCGCATATTAAGTGTGCTTCAATTTTTTTAGTTACTGATGTCTCGTTTCTTTTGAGGTAATTCATCGATATTTACTGATGTGAGTAAGGGAATTTAGATAATGAAATTTCAAAAAATCGGAGACCTAACAATGAGATAAGATAAATTGGATTTTTTAATATCACCAGAAAGGTAAATCTATGTAGAATTCGGTCGTATGTGTTAATAAGAATTCAGATGATTAATAAAAATAATATGAAGAATTAATGAAGGGTACCCATTTATTTTCCCATTACTTTCTATGTTAATCGAACATCATTAAAAACATTGCACCCCGGGTGTCGCTGATAAGGGTAATCGGCCATTAGTGTCCTTCATTCTTGGGTATGATTGGTCTACACAAAAACAAATGCCGACAACAACAAATGTTAGCTTAAAATGTGTTTTATTAATTTATTTCAATCGTTCATCATGCTGATTGCATTGTCTGTTGAAACCTTGAAAGATTTTTCAACACCGTGTTGTTTTATAAAGGGACGTAACACCACTACTAACCGTGTATTGAAATAAGCCCCGCCTCCCTACTAACCTAATATGGAATATACACGGTCTCCACGCGGTTGCTTTTAACCAATCATATTCCTAGAAATGTATAGGAGGTAAGATAATATAATTTGAAAACTATTGGTAGATGGGTTCATAAGTTATTGAACGGAAACGACAGAGAATGCCATTTTCCATTATGACAAGGACCATAACTCCTGAACGGTAAGAGTGAAAATCGTCAATATCAATCTCGACCTTCATTTCGTCATCAGTAAAAATATATAAGGAAACTTTTGCCCGCACGCCGTAATTCACCGGCACTTCACCAAATTAAAATTACCGGATTTTTCCTTTGGAAAACCCGGCTAAAAATAGTAACTTTAGTCGTCTACAATTTTATAAAGAAAATACATAGCTAGAAGATCAAAGGAAAAAATTACCATTCATGCTACAATGATATAAAGTGTTTTGACATTCAAACGTAACAAATAAGGGAAACGTTTATTGTATAAATATAAGGAGGTGTGGTATGGTTGCCTCCACCAAAGTTTAAATAAAGTGGTCATTTCGAACGCGGGTCATGAATGTAATAATTGAAACCGAACAGAAAAGTGTAGACAGTGTAAACATGGTTAATAAATCTTACACAAAATAACTTCCCAAGTAAAGTTGTTATTATATTTCAGTTTTCGTTTTATCGTCATTACTTTTTTTATTTAGTTATAAATTTAATTTGACCATGGAAGTTACATCGAGTAAATATAATACGTCTATGATTAGACATACTCAACAAGATTATTGAAATTATTGTAAATACCTTTTTTTCAGTCTCTTGAAATGTTGTCTGAACGTCGGAAGGTAGAGAATCCTTTGAAGGGATAGGAAATCTACTGAAAGGTTCCAAACTGAACTTTTTACTCCGTAATGACGTGCAACATAACTTTCTATCAGTACATGTACCTCTAATCCATGGTACACAAATCTGTAATTAAGATTATAATTGTTTTCCAGTTAAAGAATATTGTACTGCTAAATATGCGGAGATTTAAGAAGCAATATATCGAACTTGTTTTGAATGCAAAAATGTGTATCTGTATTCAAAACCAATTTTAAGGTTGGTCTCCGACCAAATAAAAACAGATAAAGACCAGGGTCGTTTAAAATCAGGTCACCCAACTAATCTGAGTTAAATTGTAACTCAATTGTTTCCGTGCTATAACAAGAAACGGAACGAATCGAAACGGTTTCGTTTCATATTTGAATAATTCTCTTGGTGTTATTCTCCGGTTTTTTTCGTTTGTTTTTATCCCATTTCTCAAATTAGTACTCACTGTGGACTTATTTCTTGTTTAAGATATTATCAGAAATTGTTAGAAAACATTAGTTTAATCAGAGACATATAATACAATTTAATTTAAGGCTTTAAATTATTTAATTAGGAAGACTGTGTTTCCAGGTAAGGATTTATAAAAAAAAGGTAACAAAGGTAAATAAGCAGCCAAGTTTGCGTCAAAATATGGTCCTCCCCCAACTGTCCTTTCAGTGATAGCACTGGTTTGGACAATTTTTTAGTATACTCTTGAATTGAAATTTACTCAGTATTTTCACTCGTTTTATTGAACATGTATATAAATTTCCTTTGTTGTTATTTATACTACTAGTAATACAATAGAAGTTGTGTTCCTTATTTTTTTTATATATGATATTGAGTTGAAATTACCCACCTAACTCCCACTACTTTTCTAAATTCTTTCGCTTGTTTTAGTTTAAAGTTCAATAGGCTGACTTTTGCCAAAATATTGCTTATAATCGTTTGTGTATTGATATATTAATTGTTTTAGTAATATTGAAAAAATAATTATTACGGCCAAATACAAGTTATACCTAGTGACTTGTCTTTATTTGACCAAGTTGACAATTATACGATCGTATTGCATAATGAGACAACTTTGTGTAAAAGAAATATAGTATTGCTGTCATGCAACATAAGTTCCTTCATAATATAAATTATAAACAGAAGAGATATTCTGTAATATTATTTCCAATGGAAAACAATATTACAGAATTTGCTCCTTACGGGATCAAATACTAAGTATACGTTGAGTTCTCTCTCTCTCTCTCTCTCTCTCTCTCTCTCTCTCTCTTAAATACTGAAAGTCCTAGTGATTAAACAAAACATTCACTGGATTGATGTCCAGCGAGTGGTTCCGGAAAGCGTCTGGTTAAAGGAACTATGTGTACTTTATCCTAACGGCATCAACAGGAAGTACTAGCATTTGATAGAGGTGCTCATCCTTTATCTTATATATATTTACACAACTAACTACATTTTGTCAATTTTGGGAATATAAATACACAGCCACGTCTATATAGTATTGAGTTTTGTTTTGTTTTATGAGGTGCAAGATTTCGGATTTAATCAATAGTTCAATAGTCAGGATTCTTACTTACTTACTTAATCCTCTTCGTGCTTTGATGCACATAAGGCCGACACAAGCTCTCTCCATAACACTCTATCTCGTGCTTTCTTCTCTACTTCTCGCCATGACATCCCAACCTCCTTCATCTCGCTTTCCACTGTTCTTCTCCATGTTTCTTTTGGTCTTCCCCTTTTCCTCTTGCCAGTTGGAGTCCATCTCAGTGACACTTTAGCAATGTTTGCTGGTTCCTTCCTTAAGACATGGCCTATCCATTTCCATCTTCTTGTTTTTATTTCATCTCTTATGTTTCTTTGTGCTATCAGTTTGAATAGTTCCCGATTGGTTATTTTGTTGGGCCAAAATATTTTACATATTCTTCTCAAGCAGGTATTGTGGAATGCAGCCAGTTTGTTGAAGTCAGTTTGTATAATTCTCCAACATTCTGAGCCATAAAGCAGTACAGGTTTGACATTGCTGTTGTAAATTTTAAGTTTTGTGTTTCTGGCAAGGGATGACGATTTCCAGATTGATCTGAGTTGACAGAAGGATGTTCTACCTTTACTCAATCTTGCTTTGATGTCTTTGGTGGTCCCATTATCACTGCTTGTTACACTGCCTAGGTATGTAAAGTCTTCTATTTCCTCGATGTTTAAGGATCCAATCTTTATTGGTATATTATTTGATTGTTCGTTGATTGACATGACTTTCGTTTTCTCGATGTTTATTTTGAGCCCAAGTTTGTTTGACATAGTATTCAGTCTTGAAGCTTTCTTTTGCATTTGTGTTCTGTTGCTGGATAGTAAGCAAATGTCATCTGCAAAATCTTGATCTTCAAGAAAGGAGTTGAGTGTCAATCTTATTCCAGTGTTTCCATTTCCTAAGGTTGATCTCATACACCAGCCAACAACTCTTAAAAAGAGAAGACGATAGATTATGCATCCTTGTCTGACGCCTGTATCCACTGAGAACCAATCAGAAAGCTGTCCATTGTGTAATACACTACATTCATACTTGTCGTAGAACATCTTTATCAGCTTGACTATTTTTAATTGTACTCCATATGCTCTTAGTATGTCCCAGATATATTCTCTTATTACACTGTCAAATGCTCTTTGGAAGTCAATGAAGTTTAGTACTATTTTGTTCTGCCACTCTATGTATTGCTCTTTGATGTTTCGGAGGGTACATAGATGGTCAATGTAGCCTCTGTTATTTCTAAAACCTGCCTGTTCTTCACGCAGCTTACTGTTGATGAAATCAGTAATTCTATTCTTGATGACTCTGAGGAATACTTTACTAGGGATTGAAAGTAGTGGTATTCCTCGCCAGTTGTTGCAAAGTTTCATGTCTCCCTTCTTTTGCAGTTTTATAATAATGCCTTTGTCCCATTCAGTTGGTATTACCGTATAGCGGGTTATTTTTGCGGGTGTAAAATTTCGCGATTTAGGGGCAACAAAGTATACGAAAACTTTTGGCGGTTTTTATTTTGGTGGATTCTTAAATCCCAATTAAATATTTTGGTGAATACTGAAATTGTTGCAGTTAAAAAGTTGTAAAACTTGACAAAGTGTCTATTGTTATGGTTAATTGATTATTTTTTTTAACGGAATGACCTCTTATTCATTGATTAAATTCTGATACAGTTATTGCCTTTTGGATTTCATTTTTGCATACAGCTTCTGTATCTATTTCAAGTGCATCTCCAAACGGTTGAATGTCAGGTATATCATCGTTTGTTTCAGCCCTATTCAGGATGTTTTTGAAGTGTTCTGCCCAACGATCTAACTTTTCCTTGTCTGTAGTTAGTAGCTTCCCCTCTTTGGATAGTACTGGTGCATCGTTATTCCTGAACTTTCCACAGAGCTGCCTAGTGATTTTGTATACTACACTGAGCTCTCCACGCTTTGACGCTTCTTCAGCTTCATTTGCAAGTTCTTCAACATAGTTTCTCCTATCATTCTTTGCGTCTTTTTTAACTTCTTTGTCTTTATCTCTATAGTCTGATTGCAATTTGGTTTTCAATCTGTTAGATTTAGCTGCATTAAGTTTTATTTTTATGGCTTTCCTTTCTTTGATGTTTTCCCAGATCTTGTCTGACAGCCACTATTTTCTTTTTCTGTTCTTTAAACCCAATACTTTCTCAGCTGTTTTAGTATAAATGTCCTTGATGTTATCCCAAATTTCAGTTATGTTTTCACCCATGTTTTCATTGTTGTTATCAATTTCACGAAGTACTTGGTATCTGTTTTTACTTCAGTATTAAATGTTTGTCTTATTTTGTTGTCCTTTAGTCTCTGCAGATCAAATGTTTTCCTGCTCGTTCATCTTCGGAGCTTTCTTGAGCTTCAATTTTATTTTGCCAATAATCAGGTAGTGGTCACTTCCAAAGTCTGCCCCTCTTTTTACAGATACATCATTTAGTGAATGCCGCCATCTGCCATTTATCATTAGATGGTCAATTTGATTTTTGTCTCTCCTGTTTGGCGATGTCCATGTAAGTTTATGTATATATTTGTGCTGGAACATCGTACCACCAATAACCAGATCATTTAGTCCGCAAAATTCAATCAGTAGATTTCCGTTTTCATTACAAGCTGCACATCCGTTGTTATCCATTATTCTCTCCACTCCGATGTTGTCACTACCTACTTTTGCATTCAAGTCTCCATTAACCAGTACAACATCATGGGCATGCACTCCTTCCATTACACTTCTTAGCTTTTCATAGAAGTCGGTTTTAGTTTCAATGTCTGCTTCGTTAGTTGGTGCATAGCATTGAATCAGAGTAAGTTTCACATATTTTGAATGGAATCTTGCTGTTATTATTCTCTCATCTATAGGTTTCCATTTTATAAGAGCTTTACTTGCTTGCTTATTCATTATGATGGCTACACCTTCTCTATGGATATTATCTTTTCTCCCAGAGTAAACTATCTTCTGTCCATTTGTAGTTATAACTGACCCATAACCTGACCACCTGCATTCACTTATGCCCAATATATCGATGTTATAGTTCAACATTTCATTTTCAATTCGCGCAGTTTTTCCTACTTCGTACATGGTGCGGACATTCCATCCTCCCACTCTAAGTAGGGATTTTTGGCCTCAGAAGTCCATTTCTCGTGTTATTAGCTTCATCTCTGCTTTCACTAATAACAGTCATTCCATCAACGGTTTGATGAATGTCTCTTTGAGTACCGGTGAAGTTATTTTGATTTACTAGTGCGGTTTCCGTAGCGTAAGTTTTTTTTACATGATAGGGGTGCTGGCCCTATGCATAACTCTCCTCCCTTTCTCATCCGTGCTTGAGAAGGCAATGGCGGAGGACCTGTGGCTTTTCTGTAGGACTAGGGGATTCCATCCCTTAGACGATTGCTGTTGCTGTTGCTAACGAGTTCCATCTACCCGGATTTTCTGTCTGGATTTACTTCCATAGCCTTTGATTCAAAAATCCAATCACAAGGCAGTGATACTATTTGGCCCATAGCTGGGACAAGGTTAATGAGTGCTAGGGCATGTACACACGCCGGTGGGCCTACACACTGCATTTTCTTGGGCCCTT